AGCTGCAGTCACTGCATAGCCGGCAGGTCCTCCAAGCCGTGCTCTGCCTTCAGGTGGGACCGGGCCCAGCGGGCAGCGCACGCCCGTGAGAGGGCTGTCCACTGCTGCAGTTGTTAGGTGCCAAGTGGGGAGGACCCCCGAGACTGGGTGCACATGCCCTGGGGTCTCTGTGCCCTCTACCAGTGGCTGCTTGCGTGGCCCACTCCTGGAGAAGTGGGTTCGCGTGCCACAGAGGGACACCTCCTGGAAACAGCCTGCAGGTGGGAAGATGTGCGAAGTGGGGTTCCTGCTGGTGGGACTGGAGCCCTCCCCTTGTCCCAGGGGGGACCTAGGAGCCCACTGCTGGAGGGGCATTAGCCTTACCAGCCCGCTCTGCACAGCAGGGGTTGGGAGGGACTGAGCCCCTGCTGGCTATGGCATGTCTCTTGCACCCCTCAACACCTGTGTGCTTGGACATGTCCCGGACACCCCGTGGGCTCCAAGCCTTGTTCATGCTGTATCCTCTGCCCGAGAGCCTTATGTCCACTGCCTCTTAGCCTCCTGCAGCAGCAGCTGTTCCCTCTTACAGGAAGCCTTCCTGGACCTCTGCCATCCCAGAGCAATGCAGCAGGCTGTGTTTGAGGGCTCCTTGCTCCGTGGGGGTGGGCTCCCACTGCACACCCCACGCCTGCCGCCACTCTTCCATGCTCACCACTGGGGGGCCCTGCAGAGCAGTCGTGGTCCGCACAGCCCTGCCCACAGAGGTCTCCTTCAACTATGCAGGTGGGCATGGGGGGTTTGCCGCGCCCTCCCCAAGCACCTGGGCCACAGTCCCAGCACCCTGCGATGCGCTCCCCGGGCCTGCACCCAGGCCAGAGGCTAACACAGCACAGGCCAGCGGCTGGTCCCAGCTTCTGTTGTCTGGAGTTCGCTGCCCTGCCCTCACGTGACTTGTCCAGGGGTTACACCTGTGCAGACACCCAGGTCTGCCTGCCCTCCTGGCCAAGCCTGGGAGATCAGTGGAGAGGGGAGTTGCCACAGAGACTCCGTCCACACCCACTCAGCCACAGGGGCTTCACCCACTGTCCCCACCTCACCCCACAGGCCTGCTGCTTCAGCCATGGACTGGCCATCACCGTGTAGGCCCACGCAATGCCAGGTGGAAGACAGCGGCCTGGCCCTGTTCTTCAAGCCCCAGGGCCTGAGACAGACACAGCAGCCATGCACCTCTCAGGCGTGGTGTGGGCAGGGCTCCCGAAGGCAGCTGGAGGGGGTCCGGCTGGGGTGAAGAGTGCATGGGGGGCGGGGGAGCTGCAAGCTGCTCTGAAGGAGGGCGTGGGCATTGCACAAAGCAGGCCTGTGTGTCCCTGAATGCCTGGCTTTGTCCCTGGCCCTCGGAGAGACCTGGGCCCCACGGACTCAGGCCAGGCTGCCCATGCCAAAGCTGCCCTTCTGGGGGACCCAGGGTGTACTGAAGCAGCTGGGGCCTTGCTCGGCCTGAGTCTGGCAGAAGTAGGGCCCAGCCCTCCTGGGCCTTGGGGTCATCTCGCTAACGCCCTTGACTGTTTGTCCTCCCGTCTGGCCCTCTAGGGTGAGGCAGGGCACGTCCAGACCAGGACCCCAGCAGAGCCCGGCTCAGGCCAGCCTCCTGGTGCAGCCGACAGCTGTGTGGTCACTCCTGAGTCGGCTCCACACTTGCGAGGCAGGGATGGTCAAAGCGCCTGCTATAGGCATGCCCAGCCCTGAGCGGGATCCCAGCTGGCTACAGCTTCTTTTCGGCCTGCGTGGGGTGGGGTGCAGCAGCGTCCTGGCCCTTGTCCGCTCGGTGCCATAGCACCCCGATTGTGACAACCAGAAGTGTGTCCAGATGTGGTCCGTGTGTCCTGGGGACAGAGCAGCACTGATGCCAGTGAGTGTGGACAGAGGTGGACGCTGGACAGCTGGCTGCAGGGCAGGGGTGAGGGTGAGGGTGCGGCCTGGGAAGCTCTGGCCGCTGTCCACGCAGTGATGTCTCACGGGGTGCGTGCTTTTCTGTTGCTGCCTTGGGAAGGCCGAGGCTGCTGGTAGGAGGGGTGGCCCCATGGGGCCTGGTGTCAGTTTGGTCCAGGCGGCAGGTGCTCTTGGGGCCTCTGAGTGGCCGAACTCCACCTGCCCACTGTCTTCCGATTCCCACACGAGTCCCCGCTGCCTTCCTCTGCCTCAGGAGAACGAAGGGCTGAGTCCTAGCGCCGGGATCGAACCTGTGACCCTGGAGCCCTCAGCTAACTGCTTGTTAATGCCAGCTTCATCACCGCCCACTGCGGTGCACCAGGCAGGGACTTGGGGCTGGTGCCCGCTCTGCCCATTGCCTCCAGGGTGCCCAGGACTGTGCCCACTGCTGGGACCCTGCTGGCCTCATGCTCAGCTGTCTGCAGAGGCGGACCCGGCTTGGGCAGGGTCAAAATAGCGGCTCCCTTCCCAGTACTTGGGGTACCCACCTTCAACGGGAAAGCCAGGCAAGCCGAAACAGGCTCTTGGAGAAACAAACGCGTCGTCTGCGAATGTCCAGAACTCGGCTCCGGGGGCGTGGGTTGGGTGGGATGTCTTTGTGGCAGGGGTCCTGTTGAGGTGGATGGGGGGGCTGTTGGCATATCTGTGCTTATGTCTTCTGGAGAGTGTGTAGAGTTGTCAGGGGGTGATAGGAGTGCAGAGGGTGCCGGGGTCTGCGTGTGGGTGTGTGAGGATGCGGGGTCTCTGTGTAGGAGTGCGGGGGGTGTGTGTGTGTGTAGGAGCGTGGGGTGTGTGTGTAGAGGTGTGCAGTAGTGCGGTGTGTGTGGTGGTGCGTAGGAGTGTGGGGTGTGTGTGTGGAGGTGTGTAGGAGTGCGGTGTGTGTGTGGTGGTGCGTAGGAGTGTGGGGTGTGTGTGTAGAGGTGTGCAGTAGTGCGGTGTGTGTGGTGGTGCGTAGGAGTGTGGGGTGTGTGTGTAGAGGTGTGCAGTAGTGCGGTGTGTGTGGTGGTGCGTAGGAGTGTGGGGTGTGTGTGTAGAGGTGTGCAGTAGTGCGGTGTGTGTGGTGGTGCGTAGGAGTGTGGGGTGTGTGTGTAGAGGTGTGCAGTAGTGCGGTGTGTGTGGTGGTGCGTAGGAGTGTGGGGTGTGTGTGTAGAGGTGTGCAGTAGTGCGGTGTGTGTGGTGGTGCGTAGGAGTGTGGGGTGTGTGTGTAGAGGTGTGCAGTAGTGCGGTGTGTGTGGTGGTGCGTAGGAGTGTGGGGTGTGTGTGTAGAGGTGTGCAGTAGTGCGGTGTGTGTGGTGGTGCGTAGGAGTGTGGGGTGTGTGTGTAGAGGTGTGCAGTAGTGCGGTGTGTGTGGTGGTGCGTAGGAGTGTGGGGTGTGTGTGTAGAGGTGTGCAGTAGTGCGGTGTGTGTGGTGGTGCGTAGGAGTGTGGGGTGTGTGTGTAGAGGTGTGCAGTAGTGCGGTGTGTGTGGTGGTGCGTAGGAGTGTGGGGTGTGTGTGTAGAGGTGTGCAGTAGTGCGGTGTGTGTGGTGGTGCGTAGGAGTGTGGGGTGTGTGTGTAGAGGTGTGCAGTAGTGCGGTGTGTGTGGTGGTGCGTAGGAGTGTGGGGTGTGTGTGTAGAGGTGTGCAGTAGTGCGGTGTGTGTGGTGGTGCGTAGGAGTGTGGGGTGTGTGTGTAGAGGTGTGCAGTAGTGCGGTGTGTGTGGTGGTGCGTAGGAGTGTGGGGTGTGTGTGTAGAGGTGTGCAGTAGTGCGGTGTGTGTGGTGGTGCGTAGGAGTGTGGGGTGTGTGTGTAGAGGTGTGCAGTAGTGCGGTGTGTGTGGTGGTGCGTAGGAGTGTGGGGTGTGTGTGTAGAGGTGTGCAGTAGTGCGGTGTGTGTGGTGGTGCGTAGGAGTGTGGGGTGTGTGTGTAGAGGTGTGCAGTAGTGCGGTGTGTGTGGTGGTGCGTAGGAGTGTGGGGTGTGTGTGTAGAGGTGTGCAGTAGTGCGGTGTGTGTGGTGGTGCGTAGGAGTGTGGGGTGTGTGTGTAGAGGTGTGCAGTAGTGCGGTGTGTGTGGTGGTGCGTAGGAGTGTGGGGTGTGTGTGTAGAGGTGTGCAGTAGTGCGGTGTGTGTGGTGGTGCGTAGGAGTGTGGGGTGTGTGTGTAGAGGTGTGCAGTAGTGCGGTGTGTGTGGTGGTGCGTAGGAGTGTGGGGTGTGTGTGTAGAGGTGTGCAGTAGTGCGGTGTGTGTGGTGGTGCGTAGGAGTGTGGGGTGTGTGTGTAGAGGTGTGCAGTAGTGCGGTGTGTGTGGTGGTGCGTAGGAGTGTGGGGTGTGTGTGTAGAGGTGTGCAGTAGTGCGGTGTGTGTGGTGGTGCGTAGGAGTGTGGGGTGTGTGTGTAGAGGTGTGCAGTAGTGCGGTGTGTGTGGTGGTGCGTAGGAGTGTGGGGTGTGTGTGTAGAGGTGTGCAGTAGTGCGGTGTGTGTGGTGGTGCGTAGGAGTGTGGGGTGTGTGTGTAGAGGTGTGCAGTAGTGCGGTGTGTGTGGTGGTGCGTAGGAGTGTGGGGTGTGTGTGTAGAGGTGTGCAGTAGTGCGGTGTGTGTGGTGGTGCGTAGGAGTGTGGGGTGTGTGTGTGGAGGTGTGCAGTAGTGCGGTGTGTGTGGAGGTGCGTAGGAGTGCGGTGTGTGTGTGGAGGTGTGTAGGAGTGCGGGGTCTGTGTGTCTGGAGCCAGTGCGTGGCTGGGAAGACAGCCAGGGCTAGGAGCACGTGCCCGGTTTCTGCACGGGGTCAGGCCTTACGAGCGGGGCTGTGGTCCAGGCTTCTCCGGGGCAGTCTGCAGCCACCACCAGCCAGGCCCCCACCAGGAGAACGGCTTCCCACATGCCAGCCTGGGCTCCGGGCCTGGGACACTTTCCAGCCTGCCCCTGGGCCGTGACTCTCCCCTGGGCCATGGCTCCCCCGGGGCCGTGGCTCTCCCCTGGGCCGTGGCTCCCCCGGAGCCATGGCTGGGAGGCCGAGCGGAGCGCGTGGCCCCTGGCCCAGGTCTCACATGTCCCTTGTCCCCGCAGCGGAGCTGGAGTTCGTGCAGATCGTGGTCATCGTGGTGGTGATGATGGTGGTGGTGGTGGTCATCCCCAGCCCCTACAGGCTGTCCGCGCGCTCCTTCCTCAGCCGCCACGGCCAGGGCAGGAGGCGAGAAGACGCGCTGTCCTCGGTGAGTGCCCTCCGCTGGCCGGGGAGCCCCGGCAGTGCTGCCGGTGCTGTGGGGTGTGGGGCGGCAGGTTCAGGGCAGACCAGAGGCTGAGGCCACAGGGGGAGGGGACGAGGGCTCGGCTGCAGGGAGGGCCAGGTGACCCGAGCGTCTGTGTGTCAGGCACGGTCCCAGGCCCCGGGCAGCTGGCAGCACACACGCCCCGGCCGCCATTCCGGGAGAGAAGTGTTGGATGGTAGGAGTGCCATGTGGGAGTGCCCTGGCTTGCTAGGCTCAGAGCTGGGGCCTGGGGACAGCAGGGGAGGCACAGGAGTGGCCGAGACCACTTTGTCCTTACTGGGCTGGGGACTGTGCGGCAGGGTGGGAGGGTGAGGTGCGGCAGGGAGTAGAGAGCAGTTCTGGTGTCCCAAGGCCAGGGTTGGGCAGGGAGGAGAGCCAGCAGCCGCTGGGAGGCATGAGGGCAGGCAGGCAGGAGCTCCAGGCACATTCGGAGGCTCAAGGGTCAGGTGGGAGGTACAGGAGGCTCTCGGGGCCCAGGTGGGGCTGGGTGCCCACAGTTCTGCAGCCTGGCCCCCTCCCTAAAGTCCCGCAGGCATCTGGGCCACGTCGTAGCACCTTGGAGAGTCCTGAGAGGGAGCAGGACCCACGGGAAGACCCTCCCAGGCCTGAGTGTCAGCCCTGCCATGTCTCCTTGGTCCGTGTCACCTGTAAAAGGGGCCTCAGTTCTCCCGTGCAGAAGGGCTAGTGATCGTGCCCACCTCCCAGAGGGTTCAGTTAGCACAGAGCAAGGGCCCGCCATTGTGCCTCGGCAGCATGTCTGTCCACCGTCCACCCGCCAGGTCTCTGGGAGCCCGCGCCGTGTGCCCAGAGCTGCCTGGCGTGGGTGTGGAGGACGCTGGTCTCAGGGCCACTGGTGCAGACGGGAGCAGGGAGGAGTGCCCACAGATGGGTCTGTGCCCCAGAGGCCATCAGGGTGTGGTGCGGAGCCAGGGCTGGTCTGGGCAGGACAGCACTGGAGGGGCCCTCAGCACTCCACCCTGAATTCCAACACACCGCTAACTCGTGGGAGCAGGTGGCCCGTGCTGCGCCCTGCCACCTGGTACCTGTGTGCAGTGGAGGAAACCCAGCGTCCCCTCAGCGGTTCCCCTCACTGCGTCTGGGGTGCGTGCTTCAAAGACGTGGGGTAAGAAGCAGCTGTCAAAGGACAGGCCGGGAGTGATGGAGCCGGGGGCATGGCCACCCCTCAGTTGGGGCTCACCAGGTGCAGGCTCACGGCACACAGGCAGCACTGGGCGTGCCCTCCAGCTCTGGGGAAGCCTGGGGCTGGCAGTGGTGCGGAGCCTTGCGCCAAGTCTGCTGGCCACAGTCCCGAGCCGGGCCCATCCCCAGCAGGTCCAGGCATCTCTGCTGACGTCAGGCCTGGCCTCGGTGCGTCACCAGGTTGTTGGGGCAAAAAGCCTCAGTTCGGGTACCCCTGACGGGAACTGGGGTGCCCCGCACAGCTGAGGCTCCGGACGGACCCACCGCAGCTCGGGCCCAGGCACCCGTGTGTTCCTGTGCTGTTGCTGTCGCCTTAGCAAAGGGCACTGCCCCCTGCAGGGAGTCCCGCCTGCCAAGTTGGAAGCCGGGGACTCAGGGTGTGCCTGCTGTGCAGGGCAGGGACTGGGCCAGACAGAAAGTGGTTTGAAGAGCCCGCAGCCATTTTGCCCTCCCTTGAGTGCTGGAGGGAGTGCTGGAGGGAGTGACAGTCCCTCAGACCAGCCTGGGAACATGTGCCCTGGGCCTCGGCGTGTTTGTCACGATGCAAGCCGGCCTCTCCAGTCCCAGGAGGCGAGGTCACTCCACAGTGCCGGAGAACCCTGACAGAGGGCTGGGGCAGGGCGGTCCTCGCCATCGTGGAGGGACAGCAGGCCTGAGGCAGCATCTGCATTGGCCTCTGCTGCTGAGACGGGAGGAGGCCAGCCTCCACTCCGGACCCGAGGCTAAGTCTCCCTGCCGTCCTCCCAGCCACCTGCACATGCCCCCGGGGATGCCTGGCAGGTAAACACAGAGCCTCGTTAGTCTAGCGGAGAAGGCTGCAGCTCCCCTGGGCACCCTGCACCAGACAGGGCACACCTGAAGCGTCTGCAGGCCCCGTGACCTCCCAGAGACACAAACACAGCTGGCGTCTGCCTGCAGCCTGCCTGCCTCCCATCTGCCCACCCAGCCCTGACCCTGGCCCCTCCTCAGGACCCCACGAGTCCCTCCTGTCTTCTGCGTGTGGCTATCACCTGTCACCCCACCCCACCCACCTACAGACAGGCCGCTCCCTCCAGTGACTGAGGATGGAGGGTAGGGAGGTCACACCCTCCCTCCTTGCTGTGTGACACAAGCAAGGGGCTGCCCTCTCTGAAAGTTTGGAAAGTCGTCAGGGAATATCCCCGTTGAAGCCAGTGCCCCTTTTTGAGGTGACATCTTGACCTAGTCCCATCCTGAGGACCAGCATGGGGTCATCCAGCAGCTCATGCACTGGGCAGCACCCGATCTCCCAGTGCACCGCCTGCCAAAGGCACTAGGGGCAGAGATAAGCCCGGAGGGGACCAGGTGCCCAGGGGAGGCCTGAGCTGCCTAAGGGGCCAGCAGAGACATCCAGTTTCGGCAAGGCTGCAGAGACCTGCACAGGCGGTTCTTCGGGGGCAGGCGTCCAGACGGGGGAGGGGAGGCCCCTGGGGAGATGGGGCGAGCTCTGCACCCCAGGGTGCTGCCGCCAGCTGTGCTGCAGGTCAGAGAGCTGGCCGAGAGGAGAGGAGCCTTCGTGCTTAATGGCAGGGCTGCAGGAGGCTGCAGGCGGGGCTTGGCCTGGCTCCGAAGCTCCTGGAGGCAGAGAGCTCCTTCCCGGGTCTGCACAGGGCAGTTATAGGGTTGGGCGCTGGTGTGCAGAGGGCCAGCAGGCAAGAATAGAGGCCAGGGACCCTTTGGAGACCCTGCAGGGACCTCAGGGGCTAGCAGCCTCTGGGGCCTTGGCTGCACCCCAGCTGCTGCTGCAGAGCCTGCAGGGCAGCCCTGACTCAGGCCTTTAGGCAGAGATGCCAGGGACAGAGGTGGGCACACTTACGCCGTTGGTTGGGGGTAGAATTGAAGGAGACGCAGAGAGGTGGGCTGTAGGTGGTGGGGAGAGAGGGAGCTATCGGAGGAACCCCATGGGCCTAGCTTTCACAACTCCAAGGATGTCAGGGCCATTCGCTGAGAGCAAAAGGGTGCATTCCCCATGGGGGTGTTTTTGAGAGCCATAGAGCCCCCTAGTGGCCATACAGAAAATTGCCATTCTCTGGCAGTTCCCACCCAGGCTGCAGGCGAGAGGCACCCACCTCCCTAGGAGCCCTCGAGCTGCCCCCAGGGCCGCTTCCAGTGATGGGTATGTTCGTTACCTTGATTTCATGGTGGGCTCTTGATCTATATATGAAATTTACCGACTTATATCCTAATGAAGTTATAAATTTAAAAGATGTTCTCCCCTGGGCTGGCTTCGTGGCCGGTGGTTAAATCATCTGGATTCCACATGGCCCATGTACAGTTCGAGTCCCAGACCCAGCAACTAGAAAAGCACATGTGTGCATGCCCAAAATCCTGAAAAGAGGGGAAAGGAGAAGAAGGGATTGTAGTGTGGCCATTCCCCTAGGGGGAGCTCTCAGCTCTCCTCTGTCTCTCAGTGCACGCACCCTCCAAAAAAAAAAAAAAAAAAAGACATCCCTCCCTCAGGTCCAGGCCTGTCCCTAGGGGCATCTGGGGTGATGCATTCAGACCGGTCCTCACAGGGAGTCGCACTCTCCGGAGGAGCTGCAGGTCCCCGCAGCAGTCTCCGAGCAGAGGGTGACACCTCCGGAGGACCCAGTTATGTCATCCCCGGCCCCTGACTCAGAGGGGCCCCGTATTCCACGTTTGTGGGTGACGAGGCCTTGCATTTGGGCAGAGCAGCCCCGTGGGCACGCAGTGTAACACTCCTGTGTAGATTCCGGGCTCACGATACAGGAGAGGCCGAGTGTAACGAGGTAGAGTGTGACGGACCTGACGGGTCCAGACCAGACGGTGCTATCACGGGGATAAACGGACGGCGCGCTGCTAGAGGGAGGCCTTTGCGCGGGGCGGAGGGCACAAGGGCCCTGGGGCACGTGCCACTGGTCAGGGCACCCCGCAGTCCCCACGCTCCCTAGGACCTCCCTCTGGGCAGTTTTAAGCCAGGCTTGTTAAGTTCTCCGGCAGTCGTCCCACAAGGGGAGTTCTGGGGCTGCCTTATTGTCAGACGTAGAAGCCACAGTGTACAAGTTACGACACTCCCCGAGGTCGCACGGGCACGTGGTCCAGCCAAGTGGACAGGGCTTGGCCAGGAGCCAGCCCAGTCGGGGGTTTCCTGAGGCCCACAGAAGCTGCCGCGGGCTTTGAGAAGGAAGGCACAGCAGGTTATTCTCCAAGTCGAAGCTGGGTGGCGCTGTGCTCCCCGCCTGCTGCCCACCCCTGACCCCTTCTCTCTGCCTTCTCCCCACACAGGAAGGATGCCTCTGGCCCTCGGAGAGCGCCGTGTCAGGCAATGGGATCCAAGAGGTGAGACCCAGGGCTGACTCCCCTCCACGGCCCACGGCTCCACTCAGGGCCTTCGGCCATGCGGGAAGCCCGTTAGCCACTGCGGGTTCACAGCTCGCCCCCTCTGAAGCAAGGAAGAGTCCCAGTACCCCAGCATGTGAGGGGGTGCAGCCCTGTGGTGCCCTGTGCACTCTGGCTTGGGGGCTCCAGCTGAGGTTGGGCCTGACTGCATTGCATCCTGGCCTAGCTCCCCCTTTTTCCTGCCACCTTCTCGCCCTGTCCCCAGAGAGCCAAAACACAGGCAGCTGAGCCCCTGCCTCGGGCGTGGCCACTGGGGCCCTGAGCTGAGGCGCAGCTGCCCCCTCACTCCACCTCGCTCCCTCCAGCCACAGGTCTACGCCCCGCCTCGGCCCACTGACCGCCTGGTCGTGCCCCCCTTCTCCCAGCGGGACCGCTTCCACCGCTTCCAGCCCACCTACCCGTACCTGCAGCATGAGATCGACCTGCCGCCCACCATCTCACTGTCGGACGGAGAGGAGCCCCCGCCCTACCAAGGCCCCTGTACGCTCCAGCTGCGGGACCCCGAGCAGCAGCTGGAGCTGAAC